TACTTTTACTTTTTATTATGGATAATATAGATAAAAATATAAATTGTATATAAATTCTTAATTTTACGCTCTCCATTTTGATTTAGGGGCGATGTAATATGAGACAACTTTTCTATATTATTTTTTGATACAATTTTCACATATTATTAAATAAGTGGATACATTAAATATTACAGGTTTCATGTGAATAAAAAAACTAATCATTTAAATGACACGTCAAGTTGTACCCGAAAGTGATATAAAAAGATTATTCCAAAATCATTTCCATTTGATTTAGTTATTCCATTATCTATATAGAGGTGACCTCTCTTAATTGTTCGTATTTTTCATTTTAATGAGGTATTAAATGTTAATATTTCAATTTTACTTCTATCTAAAAATGAGTTAGGATATTTTTTTGTTTAATTGTAAGTAAGGGTGAAAATTAAATGATAAGTCTCAACTATTATAATAAATAAATTTATTAATAATTATGAATAGATAAAGTAAGACAACTGAATCAAACAATAAAGAGTAAAAAAGTATTCTCTTTATTTGATTTCAGTAGATAAAATTTTTAATTTGAAGTGTTTAAATTTAGTTATTTGCTTTTTTCTTTTTTGAAATGCCATTTAATGCTATTATTTATATTTTACCCTTATTTTAGAAAGATAATTATAACACATATTAAATAAGAAATGCTTATTTAAGTAATGATTAATTAAGAATAATATAAAATTTTATCAATTAATTATTATATCTTTATTTTACTAATAAAAAAAGGGCCAATTAAAGTTTAGCTGAGGGAGTAAAAATTATTTTATAACAGAGAGAGCATGTAGATTTCATTTTCTGGAAAAAAAAAAAAAAAGGAGGAAAGAAACAAGAAAAGATGAGAGGGTGTGTTTCTTATTTGAAGTATACAAAATTGTAAAATAAAATTTTTTAAATAGAAAATTAACATTTTTTGTAATAATAATATTATCTTGTAGTAGATAATGTGTCAACTAATGAGAGGTAATGCATAGTCCTACTAAGTGGGAATTGTTAACCAGTACATAAAGAGAAAATGTTCAAATAAAGATATAAATTTTACTCTCAAATAGGAAAAAAAAAAGGAGTAAACTTTTTTATCTTTAAATAGAAACAATAAAAGTTTAGTACTTAATTTAAAATTTTAAAAAATTTATATTCTTAAATAAGAGAAATAATAAAGTTCATATTTATCTAGATATTTTTAACTTGTGACTTTTTTTATGGGATAAAATTGTGGATAAATGATTTTCCATTCCAAATCTCCAATATGTAAAGAAGATTTTTGTCTGGCGAACCTGCTTGTGTACAAATTTATCATTTATAATTTATTTATTTATTTTTGGCCAGCATCATTTATAATTCATTACCTATCAACAATTAATTATTAATTGCATTTAAAAAATTAATCCAAATAAGGCCTTAGCTAGGGCAAGTCTAAGTTCAACCCTTACTATATACCCCGCTTTGAATTCCTAAAGAATTTGACTTGGTTTTACTTTTATCATCTTGACAAAAATCAAAACAAACCCTCCACATTATAACTTCACCTAATCACCTTACAAGACTCTATATCTTTAGCATATTTGATGATATGATTATATAACATAGAACAATCATTTCATCTTATTAACTCATTCCGATTTATTTTATAAATTGAATTTTAATATCTCTAAAATAAACGTTTTAAGTGCTTAATCGTTGAAATATTCCCTAGGGACTTATTGTGAATATTTGACTTACAATTTAGGTAGATGGCCACCTGTCCCGTTCATATCATAAGGTTGTTTCCTTGTGTGGTTGGCACGGTCCTCCTTGCCATACTAGGCTCACCTTACCAGTATAGATCATTACTGCCATTAAAACTCCCTTTTTTTTTTATCAAACTTTGCCAGTTTAGTTCACCACTGCCCCCACAAACTCCCTTTTTTTTCTCTAGCTCAGCACACAGAAACAGGAGACAAAATTGTAGACTTCTTTCATTTCTTTCTCTTCTTCATCTGCAATAGGAAATATGGCAGCCACTAATCCCAAGAAACAGCTCAAACACTTCATTACATCGCTGCAGGACCAGGTTAAGTACTTAGCTTCCCTACCATGTTTATTTCTCCAACTCCATTTTACTTCAATTCTTCTTCCCACCTAGTGTTCATAAGGTGTTATGACTCTCTACAGAATACCACCTTGCATTGTTTTTCTTAACGATTTTCCAAAGACTCGTTAGGAATTCAACACAAACTATTCATATTTAAGACTTTGTGCCTGTTTGGCTCATCAGCAAAAGTTGAAATTGAGTCAAACACAATTTTTTGAAAAATGGTTGTCACTTTTATAAAAGTTGTCTTCAACTTAGTGTAGCCACAAGCCTATAAGTATATATACTTAACCTGTAGTTAAGCTAAACAAGCTCATATATTATGTATCATGTCCTTTTTTCTTTTGTTAATGAGTTTTCATCAACATTCATTTGTTCCTTTTTCAGGGCATACTGGACGTGTTCTTCAATCAATTGCAACAATTAAATAGCAAACAAAATCCTCCACTTCTCCTTGAGCTGATCTCCATCTTCTGCCAGGATGCTGAAATTAGTATTGCAGAAATGACCCATCACCTGTACTCCTTTTTCTTCTCATATAATTAATTAATGTTCTGCTTTTCCTGATTTTCCCATTCACAAGTTTTAATTTCCCTTTTACATCTTTTGCTCAGGAATTCAGCTGTTGTGGACTATAGCAAGGTGATAGCTTGGGTACACAAGCTCAAGGGAGGTAGTGCAAGGTAACATTAACATTCTTCTTCAAACTTAGTACATGCATAAATCTAATGGTATATGACACAATCGTCGGTTTAAACTTGAATTACAGTATTGGTGGTAAACAAGTAGCAGCTGCTTGCCGTGAGCTCCGGCTGGCCTGTGATGACAAGCATCAGGAGAGGTAGGGGAAAGGATTAATTCATTTTCTTTTTCAACTAGTTCTTAAT